AATCCTACGTGGTCATGATGAATGATCTTTTTAATGTGTTGCTCGATCCAATCTGCTAATATTTTGTTGAGAATTTTAGCATCTATATTCATCAGGGATATTGGCCTGCAATTTTCTTTCTTTGTAGTGTTTTGGAATTAGGATAATGCTGGCCTCATAAAAAAAGCTTGGAAGTCTTCCCTCCTCTTGAATTTTTTGGAATAGTTTGAGGAGGATAGGTGTTAGTTCTTCTTTGAATGTTTGGTAAAACTCTCCTGTAAATCCATCTGGTCCAGGACTTTTGTTTGCTGGGAGTTTTTTTTTTTTACTACTGCTTCAATTTCATTAGTTGTTACTGGCCTATTCAGGTGTTCTGATTCCCTCTGATTTAGTTTTAAATGATTGTATATTTCTAGAAATTTGACCATTTGGCCCAGGTTGTTCAGTTTGTTGGCATATACATGTTCATAGTATTCTCTTACAATCCTTTATGTTTCTGTGGTGTTAGTTGTTATTTTGCCTCTTTCACTTCTGGTTTTATTTATTTGGGTCCTCCCTCTTTGTTTCTTGATGAGTCTGGGTAAAGGTTCATAAACCTTGTTTATCTTTTCAAAGAACCTGCTCTTGGTTTCATTGATCTTTTGTAGTATTTTTTAGTCTCTATGTCATTTATTTCTGCTCTGATCTTTATTTCCTTCCTTCTACTTCCTCTGGGCTTTTCTTGTTGTTCTCTTTCTAATTCTTTTAGTTGTAGGATTAGATTGTTTGAGGTTTTTCTTGAGGTAGGCCTGTAATGCTATGAATTTCCCTCTCAGGACTGCTTTCGCTGTGTCACATAGATTTTGCATCCTTGTGTATTCATTTTCTTTGTTTCCAGGAAGTTTTTTATTTCTTCCTTGAGCTCATTGGTAACCCATTCATTGTTTAATACTATTTAGCCTCCCTGTGTTTAAATATCTTTGAGTTATTTATTGTAGTTGATTTTTAGTTTCATGCTATTGTAATCCGAGAAGATGCTTGATATAATTTTAATCTTATTGAACCTGTAAAGACTTGTTCTGTGTCCTAGTATAGCACACACACACAAAAACTAACTAATGTCTCTGATTAAAAACAATTTTTTTTGCTGGTGAATCAAGAGTGATTTTTGGCAAGCGCCTATTTCCCTTAATCTCTGCAGCCAAATTAGCTGGTAGAACTGGCATATGTCTTGACTGATGCTGTACACTTGTATTAAGTCAGTTTTTTAAAAATTCCCAATGATACTTAGTCACTATGTAATATTCATAATCTAAAAAAAGGTCTATTTAGTAAAGCCTCATTTAATTATAAACATAAAGGTAACAAATAGAGTGTAAGTCCAAAAACACACATACATATTCTACTATTGCCAAATTCTTACACAAATGTAAGACAATATTTTTTTTTATCACCACCATCACTAGGCCTGACTGAAATGACAGGTGCACTAAAAGTACTGTTCAGATTCCTTCCGTTTAAAAGGAAGTTTCAAAATTTAATCCATAACACCAATGATTAAAGTTATTTTTTAAAGAAATAAGGCAACGAAGAAGTAAATGAGATTAAGAATTTCTGCTGTGGAAGACTACAGTTTAAAATTTTACCATATGCTAAACTTAAAACAATGCCTGTAGCTATCTGAATTTGAAAAACAGACTAACATTTTTAGAAAAGTATATTGAGGGGAAAACAGCATCCAATTCAAAAGCAGACTACAAGGGGAAATGTCAGAAGCCAATTCCTTACACTTGTTGAACTGACCAAAATACACTGGTGTCTGTGTCCCACGGCTCCTAGCCTCAGGGTTCTGTTGGTATGTCCATCTCTTCCTCTGTGAGGTGGAACTGCCTCCTGACAACAGATTCTGTAACCTCAGTAATCGTACTCCCACAGAGCAACTCCAAGACGGGCCCGCCTGTGGAATTCCTCTCAGAAGTGAAGTTGCAGAATGTCACAGTAAAGTCACTTCCATAGAACTCTTTTTGTTCTAGACTCAACTCCTGCTTTTATTGCTCAAGTATGGAATTTCTATAATGTGAAGCTGCCCTTTTGGGAATTTGTCTTCATTTCTCAAAAATGCACTATAGACTCCCTGTTCTTTCTTAGAAACCAGCCGTAGAGATTGAGACTCAGGCTCCACTGGTTTGCTTAATGCTTTGAGGCTGGTGTCACCTTCCAGGTGTCATCTTGTACCACCTTGGGAAGTACTAGACTCTTTTAAAGATGCTGTTGGGGGCAGATACCCAAGCCAACACCCTATAAGGAGGGGGTCAGGGCAATGGAACCTACCCCATGGGTGACTGGTGGTTGCTCTCCACAGCAAGCAGACAATTCTCTCTTCTACCAAGTATTATATTTTGACCTCATTCCCAGGAAGTATGCTACATAAAAAGAAGTTTGCCTTCCTTTAGAGTGAACCTGCTGATATTCCCACAATGATGCTAGAATTACATACACACATTTGAGCACCCTACACTAAGTGGCTGTCTTATATAAGTGCTGGGGTGAAACGGCAGCATCTTCATCATTGTTGGAGGGCTATTTTAAGAACAGTCTTGAAAGTTAGATAGGCGGGCAATAGGCAACAATTCTTAAACACTGTATCATTGGGCAGCTCAGTATAGTAGTCACTAGCAGGACTCTGGGTCAAATGACCTGGGTTCCAATCCCAGCACTGCCACTTAGCTGAGTGACCCTGTGGAAGTTAAATCAGCCTCTCTGTGCATCAATTCCTCCTTTCTATGTTGAGGATAACAGTAGCACCCCATCACAGGGTTTTTGTGAAGATTTATAACTAATATAAAGTTAGAACAGTATCTAAAGCAGAGTAATGCATATAATTATTTGCTATTATTTTTCTACATATTCTTAATTCAATTAACATGTTATTATATAATGCACGGATTATTTTCAGTAAGTTTCCAATTCTGAGATAATGAACCTTGCCATTCAAAATCTTTCCTGAATGCTTCATTTTCATACTCACCTGCTAAATGTTTGGGTTTTGAAAAAAAGAAAATCAATTGGGAAATTAAGTCACCTGCCAAAATTAAACAAGCCAAAAGCCACTCTTGCAGGTTTTTCCCTTGTGAATGTGGACTTCACAAAATGAGAATTAGATAAAAGTCACAGCTTATTTCTTTTTTAAGCCTTTGACAGACAAAAAGAGAGTAAGACTAAGTGCAGTGGTAATGAAACCACAGGACTCCAGGCAACCTTCCATGGAGGAGGATGCTGAGCCCTGCACTTCCTTTCAGGGCCAGTCTTGGGACAGGAAGCCTGGCTACTGCCTGCCCCGTGACCATGGCTTCCTGAGAAGCCCTGATGGGGAAGCTTCTTGTCCCACTTCCCCTCAAGTATGGCCCACTCCTTCCCAAGAGACCCTGTTGTTCCCCGACCTGGGCTCGACCCCTACTTCTCCCACCAGGAGATGCTCTGGTGCTCACCAACGATGCTCTGGAATTGAGGAATAAACTGCAAATAGTTAAAATTTCTTTGTGGCTCCACCTACACCGTTGGCACTTTTCTATTTATCCCACTGCCAAGCTCCCTCCCTGCCACTTGGCTGCTTTCTTTGATCTCAACAGCAGCATAAAAAAGCCCTTAAAGGAGATTATGGATCCCTAGAGAGTTCAGATTTTTAGAGAAGGCACCTGTGGAGGTTGCCTGGGCCGCAGTGGGCGGAGCTGCCGCACATCCCTTAGGCACATCATTCACTCTACAGTCATTGTGAACGGCGCCCCCTGGAGTTGTACAAGGAGATGCCTCAGACTCTGGGAGGACAAGTCAGCTGGGAGGATACATTCCTATTTTTAAAAAACAACTAAAAAAGAGAAGTTCAGTTCAAGTTTCTTGTCTGTCAGCTCTAGTCCCACCTCTCCCTAAAGGGGTTTGGGTGACCCCAACTGTCCCTGAACCTCCCACAGCTCACTCCCTCAAACCAACCAGTCTAAAGCAGGAATCTCACAAAAGAGGGGGTGAGGGGAGAGGGGAACGACAGGAAAAAGGAAAGAGAAATGTTACAAACAAACAAAAAGGGCTAGCAGTGGCAAAGAGAGGAAGGTAAGAGCAGAGCGCACCTGAGGCCGAGCTGCCCAGGGGAGCGCTGGCCTGTGCTCTGCCTCCCACCGCGTCACTGGGAACTCTGGGGCAGGGCCGCGGGGCAGGGCAGTCAAACGCATCTCCAGTGAAGACAGAACTCGAGCTCTCCTACAACTTCACATCTATAAGTAATGCCCACGTATGGAAATTAACTTTTTGTGTTGTTTTGGCTCTGGTTCCCCTGCTCTGCTCTAATAAAAAGAAAGCTGCTTAAAGCATGGGAGTGAGAAGCATAAGGGACAACCAGGGAGGTGAGGTGACCTGTCCTGCAGTAATCAACAGACTAAACCTGGGCATCGGGCGTACCTCAGGGGTCCTCTGGGCTAAACTCTGCACAGAAGCCCAGCACACCCTGCCCGAGCCATGGCCATTCAGCCAGCGACAGAGAGCTCACACCTCACAAGACAACTTGATCCATTTCTCTACAGCTCAAACGATTAGCTCATACTGTGTGGCCGTATGATGTTCTGGATCTTAGCTCTGCCCTGCGAAGCCACCCAGAATAGGTGCAAATGATCGTTTTCTATGAAAACCTTTCAAATATATTTTTTAGACTGATTTGAGAGACAGAGAGAAAGAAAGGAAGAGAGCAAGAAAGAGAAAGAAAAACATCAATTTGTTGTTTCACATACTTATGCATTCACTGGTTGATTCTTGTATGTGCCCTGACCAAGGACTGAACCTGCAACCTTGACATATCAGGATGATGCTCTAACCAACTGAGCTATCTGGCCAGGGCAAGTTTTAAACATTTGAATGCCTTAAGCATATTCTCTATAATGTCTCTCTTCTAGAACAGACATGCTCTTTTCTGTTTTTGAACCTTTACATGTAACTGGCAAGAATTAAAAGAAAAGTTTTAAGTAACCTGACCGAAGGCGGCAGTTTTTGGTTCTTACCGATTCAGGAAAGCATTTCCAAAGCGACTGAGCTTTCGAAATGGCTTTTTGGGATCCACGACTAAAGCGTTCCCTGGAGTGCTGCCCTCATTCTCCCCATACATCACAGCGATGAAGGAATCGGTGGTGGGCTCTGGGCCAATCCTCATGCCTGGGAAATCTTGCTCCAGTAAGTATCTGGAAGGGGGGAAATAAAATTAGCATGTTGTCACCAAGCAAAAGGTCAGAAAGCTTCCTGGGTCTACCCATTTTTAACATAACCATTTAAAAACCTAGAAATATAACCCCCAGAAAAGGAGAATGATCTACTCTTTTGCTAATAATAATTTTTCAGAGCTTAAAGTCTACAGACTTTCCCTGCCCTGCTAGGGTAAGAAGCCTAGTGAACGAGGCCAGGCATCTTGCAGCCTGACTGTGTACCTCTAAAAGTGTACCTCTGCTCAGCAAAGCAATTCTTGTTCAAGGTTCCATCGGTGCAACAGACACCACCCCAGAGAAGCCTACCCAGCCAACTCCTATGTATCCTAGAAGACCCTGCTCAGGCCTGCCTCCTTTAGGGAGGTGTCCCTGTCCCTCCAGCGTGTTGGGAACACCTCCTCTGTGGGCACTGGGGAACCCTGTGCCTGTGGCCATCACGGTGCACCATGGGTACTGCACTTCTTTGCTTGTTGTCCCTTGTAGGCAGGCCCATGCCTGTGGCCAGGTGCACATCCCTAGCATCCAGCACCTAGCACCGTGCCTGCCCACATAGGGCACTCAATGTAATGAATGAAAAATGAACCGCCTCCTTCCTTGTCACTGACAGTCTATGAGGCCGCACACCCTCCCTTGTGCATTTTACAGCTCCCTTGGGCTCCTGGAGGTTGTAGCCATGGAAGACAATTTCCAAATAATTCAGTAGCAACAGAGGCTGGTATGGAGGATGAGGGTGAAAGAGGGAACTCATATTAAATATCACCAGATCCATCACTAGCCCTTTGTGCAAACTGGAAAAAGATGCCCTTTCCTTTAGGCAGACACAACCCTGTACCAGGATTCACAGCGTAGCAAGGAGAACTCTGGCTGGATTTTACCCACCACGTGCCCCTTTTCCCAGGAGCCCTCATGCAGTTTAACCTGCACAACTGTATACAGTGGCCCTAGCAAATGTCATTGAGGACTCTCATTCAGTGGGCTGAGGAGATCCACTGATGTGACAGAGAACATTAGGACTGGCTCAACGACGTGTTAGGGAGGGGCAAGTCCACTTTCTGAGGGAACTGGTTGAGCCCTAACATAGCTCTCCCCACTCTCACCAGCACTTCATTCAGCTGAAGCCACTTACAGTTCTTCCCTCCCTCCCCACCAAGATTCCCTTTCCATGATGTAGGAAGATACTATGTATGTTTATGCAAATATGAGGGGGGGAGGGGTAGGGGCAAAGACCTACCTTCCTCTGCAACCAAGGGGAGCATAAAGAAAAAAGTCCAGTGACCCTTGAACAATGCAATAGAAAATCCATGTATAACTTGACTCCCCAAAAACATAACTACTAATAGCCTACTGTTAGCTGTAAGCTTTACTGATAACATAAATAATTAACACACATTTTGCATGTTATATATATTATAAACTGTAATGGGAAGGGGGTGGGGGGAGGTAGAAGAGGGTATATGGGGGATAAATGGTGATGGAAGGAGACTTGACTTGGGGTGGTGAACACACAATACAATATACAGATGATGTATTATAGAATTGTGCACCTGAAAAGTATATAATTTTATTAACCAATAAAAGAGTAAAAAAAAAACCTGTATTCTTACAATACAGTAAACTAGAGAAAAAAATGTTATTGAGAAAATCATAAGGAAGAGAAAATACCCTTGCAGTATTTGCTAAACAAATACTGTAAAGCACGTATGTGGACCCATGCAGTTCAAACCCATGTTGTTCAAGGATCAGCTGTACTTTGGAATACATTTCACTCATTACCAAGCAGCAAGAGGAAATGCAACACCTTCAGAGAACACTTGACAGTGACTGTGGACCGGCTGTGGGGGTGTGGAGTGGTGGAAGGGAGTCCCTGTTCAAGGCGAGCCATATCCCAACCCTGCCAGGGAGATGACCCTTCACCCTGGTGAAAGGCTCAAGGGCAGACACCCAAACAACTTCCTCCAGTTCCCCATTCCTGCAGCTAACAATCTACTTGGTCCTAAATTATTTCCTTTATTTCTGCCATGTCCTGACTGATCAAAAAATTTTGTTTTCTTTTTTTCCTCACCCGAGGACATTTTTGCATTTATCTTCACATAGAGTGGGAGAGAGACAGGAAGGAAGAGAGAGAGAAACATCGATGTGAGAGAGATACATCAACTGGTTGCCACCCACACAACCCCAACTGGGACTGGAGACAAACTGCAACCAAGGTACGTGTCCTCAGCGGGAACCGAACCCGGGTCTCTCTGGACTGCAGGCTGACGCTCTAACCGCTGAGCTAAACCGGCCAGGGCCTGACTGATCAAATTTAAGCTCAGTACCTGTGATTTTATTTCCAGGGATAGAAGAAAAAAACTGAACTATCAAATGTCTGACATAATTTTCCCAAGAATAAGAAATTAACCCACCCTTTAGACCTATGTTTTAAACGTAAATAAAATTGAAATTGTTCAGCAATCTTAGCAGGCTATTTCTAAACATTTAATTGATTTCATTGCTAGTTTTAATGTTTCTTCATTTCTGTGAAAGTGTGTAGCATCATTTAAATATATCCCCTGAATTTAGAGTGAATGTGAAAAAAATTGGATCACAGCACCAGCATTTGCCAAGTACTCACTACTAACCTGGTGTAGTACAAAGCCTCTAACCACACACTGTTTCATTCAATCCCCACAACACTGAGGAGGGCACTAACACTCTCATTTTATAGGTGGGAACACTGAGGCGTCAGAAAGGCTAAGCAACCTGCTCAAGGTCACAGTTAGTGTTTCAGTGGAAATTTAATGCAGGCAGTTGGACCTCAGGTCTTGCTATCTCCAGATATGTTTAAACCTGGGTTTGAGCTGGTGGTTTGCTCAGAGATGAGGAGCACAGGGGATTTTAGGGCCATAGCACACAGTGGGCCACTGGGCATAAAGCACCACGACATCATATTTCCTTAAAAGTGAAGGAAAAGAGCCCAGCCAGTGTGGTTCAGTGGTTGAGCATTGACCCATGCACCAAGAGGTCGCCGGTTCCATTCCCAGTCAGGGCACATGCCCAGGTTGTGGGCCAAATCCCCAGTGAGGGGCCATGCAGGAGGTGGCCAGTCGATGTTCTCTCTCATCAATGTTTCTATCACTCTCTCCTTCTTCCTTTCTCTCTCTCTAAAATCAATAAAGAAAAAATATTTTTTTTAAAAAGAAATGTTAACGGTTATTATTTAAAAAAACAATGACGGGTTTCAATGAAAACCCTAAAGTATGAAATTGTTTGAAGAGCACATATGCCCTGGCTGGTTTTGCTCAGTGGTTAGAGCACTGGCCAGCGGATGTAAGAGTCACGGGTTTGATTCCAGTCCAGGGCTTGTACCTGGGTTGCAGGTTCAATCCCCGGACTCAGTTGGGGTTGTGTAGGAGGCAACCAATCGATGTATCTCTATCACATCATTGTTTCTCTCTCTTTCCCTCCCTCCTTTCCACTCTATCTAAAAAAAGAAAAAATATCCTCAGGTGAGAATTAACACACACACAAAAGAAGATGCTTCTGACTTTCAATTTCATACTGTAACAGAAGTTAGAATTTCCTGCGTAGCACCCTGCCAGGCAGAAAGTTAACAACTCATTATTTTTAAAGTATGCTGCTAATGGGAATCAGTTTGAGGTGAAAGGTGCCCTTGAACTGTGACCTTGGTAAATCATCCAATCCCAGGTACAGAGGAAGTACCAGAACTAGAAAAAATTACTGTTTTATAGTTTGCTTACATTAATCATTTGCTTAGTGATACTTTCTCCTACAGATAATAAAAAGCCCAAATTCAATGTTCAATTTCATTATCAGGGTAATACCAATTAAAGACACTGCATACTAGCACTTAAAAAAAAAAAAAACTCATAACACTCAATGCTGGTGAGGCTGTAGTAAAATAAACATCCTTATAAATGTTGGTAGAAGAATAAGTTGGTATAACCTCACTGAAAAGCAATTTGATACCCCCTTTACAATGGGGGTAAATATACTTTTTGAAATCTATCCTTTGGAAAAACCCTTAGACACGTGAAAAAGACTTCTGCGTGAAGATGTCCATTGCAGCACTATCTATAAAAGCAAAAAATGAGAGAAAAAAGTGTTTTCTTTCCCATAGCTCTTATTCCCTCTTTCATAATATAAAATGTACTTATTATTTTATGACTTATTCCCCATCTCCCCCTGGTAGAGTATAAGCCACAGGAAGGCAGGCCTTTTTGTCTCTCCTGTTCACTAAGGCTCCCCACTAGTGCTTGGAACATCTCTGGCACATGATTGAGATGGTTGATGAATAGTCTGTCTGATGCCCCTGCCCCCCCCCTCTCATTTCCCTACTCATGGCATATATCAGTATCTGAAATGATCTCAGGCTGCTATTTGTATGTTACTGTTCTAGGATGTTAGGAGCATATTAAAAGAGAGGACCCTCATCTGTCTGGCTCACCACGATATCCCACCATCTAACAGTGTCTGGCACATAGTAGGTGCAGAATCAGTATCTGTGGACTCACTGACTTTGTTTCTTTCTTTTTTTTTTAGTTTATTTTTGTTACAGATGTTTCTCCTTTTTTCCCCATTGACACCCTCCTCCCCATCCCCCCCACCCCATCCCTGGCTTTGTTTTCCGGGTCCATCGGTTATGCGTACATGCATATAAGTTCTGTGGTTGATCTATTCCCCACCCCCAACCCCCTCCTCTGAGGGTCATCAGTGTGTACCCTACTTCCACCTCTCTGGGTCTACCTTATTCCTCAGACTGTTGTGTTTGGACTCACTGACTTTCTCTGTGCCCTCATCCAGGCGGTCATCAGGCTCTGGCCTCCCTCCCTCCCTTCTCTGCCTCTTTACACCTCACCGGGACACGGGTCATTCCACACTTTCCAGTGGCCTCCCAGCCTCCCTCTCTCCCATTTGACCTTGAAAATCAGATTCTTTTTTGAAAGTACCACTCTAACAGCCCGGTCTCGCACAGATAA